GGTGGTGGGAGCATCGTGGAACTCGCCAAGAAGCCGTGCACGCAAGTGAGGATCACTCGGTACGCAAAGAAGGTCCTTCCCCCGCGTGTGGACAAGCAAGTACCCCTCTTGGATCCGGTAGTGAGAAGGAGACGGATTAGGAGAGGAGCAATTCGCGTACTTGTCGCGAAACTCGGGGTCGGCTTGGTAGCCGCGGATGAAGTTGTTCCGCAGGTCGTCGTCGATCTCGAATGTTGAGTAGACCGCGGTACAATAATCCGGATGCCGTGAAAGAGCATCCGCAAAACGGTTCGACTTCCCGGGAATGTGATTGGGAAAGAAGTCGAACTGGTCGATGAAAGCCATCCATCGAGCGATGGTGCTGTTGACGGTGTCTTGGGTCTTGTAGAAGACCAACGGATTGTTGTCCGTTACCCAGCGAAATTGGCTTACTAAGGAGGAAGTGCCACCACCGCTTGAGCGCGTGGACGAAGGCGAGGAGCTCCTTCTTGCGTGCATCGTCAATGGAATGCACGATGGGCACTTTCTTGCTGAAGTACTCGACCGGGTGCCAGTCCACACCATCATGTTGCTCGAGGACTGCACCAATGCCATAGCCTGACGCATCCGTAGTGACGCGCGTAGGTGAGAGCGGGTCGTATATCCGCAAGACCTCCGCAGACAATAGCGCGGCTTTGAGAGCGAAGAATGACCCCCGCGCCTCCTCTCCAAAGTCAAACGGTCGATCCTCGCATTGAAGCTTGTTCAAGTGGGCCGCGGTCTTGGAGTAGCCTTTGATGAAGCGCTGATAGTAGCCGGTAAGACCGAGGAACGAGCGGACATCCGTGACGTTCCGAGGCTCCGGCCACTCCTGGACGGCCTGAATCTTGTCCGATAGCGGACTGATGCCCTCCGGTGTGACAAAATGGCCCAAGTTTTCCAGCTCCTGCTGGGCAAATTCACACCTGTCGCGGTTGGCCTTGTACTTGGCGTGGCGGAGCATCTCCAACACTCGTCGAAGATGTCCAAGATGATCCTCCAATGACCGGCTATAGACGAGAATATCGTCTATGTAGACCAGCACGAACCGGTCCAACATTGCACGGAATTCATTGGTCATTGGTACCTGGAACGTCGCAGAGCGTTGGTGAGGCCAAAAGATATGCCCGTACCGCGTCTTGAACGCGGATTTGTAGCGATCGTTCGGCTGGATCGAGATTTGATGATATCACGATTTCAAATCCAACTTAGAAAAATATTTTGCGCCGCCCAATCGCTCAAGAAGATCGTCGATGCGAGGAAGAGGCCCCGCATTCTTGACGGTTTGCGCGTTGAGCTTGCGGTAGTCGATACACTGGTGCTCCATATGGGGACCTGCTAGGGCGGATCCAGCCCTTGGCCAGCAAATCATCGAATTGTGCGCAGAGGACCTCAAGTTCCTCCTCGCTCATCCGATAGATGCAACCTTACGACGGCACGGCACCGGCCTCAAGAATGATCTCGTGAGAGATCGGCCGATCCGGCACCACACCGGTAGGTGACTCGAAGATCTCGGCGAACTCGTCCAGCAACCGCACCACACGGGGGTCCGAAGACAAGTCCGTGGGTGAGAAGTCGGCTACCGCGACGGTCCGTAGGAAACATAGGCCGATCTCCTTGGGCTGCTCGTAAGCGCAAGTCGCCCGGAATGATTTGGCCGTGACCACTTGGCACCGGATCGAAGTGTGCGGTAGAGGAATAGTACACGCCACTTCCGCGCCGAAGGCGTCGCGGACGCTAAGAGTCCGCCGATGGAAGTTGACCGTGTGATCCGCACTTGCAAGCCAAGGCATTCCCAGAATGATGTCAAAGTCCGTGTCGAGAATATCGAATGTCACCGGTTCGCATGCATGAGGTGCGAAGTAGACCGGTACGGCCTCGATGTAACGATCGAGAAGTTGTTGCGTCTTTCCATCCGCCAACTTGATCGCCGTCGGGTTTGCCTTCCTCCGAACTTGTGCGCCAAGGTCAGCCCTTTGCATAAAGGATTGGCTCATGAAGTTGCGAGACGCGCCGCTATCCAGCAAAGCGCTGCAGGACGCTTGCCCAACCTGAATGCGGACATACATGAGCGGTGCGTTTGTCATCGTACCACTGCGTGCGAAACTCGCGGGCCACCTTGGTAGTATACGCCAGGATGTCCCCCACCGCGACTTCGTCATCCGTCGGCGAAGTTGGTGGTGCATAGAAGGATAAGTAAGTGTGAAGATTAGCGCTAAGTGTTGCTCATTGCGGTCCCGGCAAGTGGCCTTTGGTCGGGAGAGGAAGCCATGCAAAGTCCTCAGACGTGAGCGGGTCCAATGCCTCTATGTTGAACTCGCGTGCCGAATCCCGTGATGAACCACTTNAGGAAGCCATGCAAAGTCCTCAGACGTGAGCGGGTCCAATGCCTCTATGTTGAACTCGCGTGCCGAATCCCGTGATGAACCACTTGAAGACGATATGTAGTCGTTGCCGGACGGAGAAGAAACCGCACACACTCCTTGTCCTTGAGCTTGAGTACCCAGCGTAGGAACGAGCCGGGCAGCATAGTCCTCAAAAGAAAGTAGAAGAGGRGGACTATCGACTTCCGCGTGCGCCTCGGAATGAAGGCCGGTTACTCGCGAAGAAACTGGTTCCGAAGGCGTCGAGAGTGTCGTCGAGTCACTCTCGGAGGTGCTCAGTTTCCCTGTCTGCCCTTGCCTTTTAATGGGCAACCTTGCGTCTGATGAAGATCGTTGTTGCACCAAAGGCAATAGTGGAATCTCTCGCACGCTTTGAATGCTGACTCGGAGATGCCATATTGGGATCATGGGCCTGTCTGAGCTGCTGCACCGGGCCCGGGGCTAGATGCGGTGTGTGTCTTCGTCTTGCCACGTCCTCGGCCTCGGCCAGGGCGACCACCTTCCCGGGCGGCTGCGAGTCTGTCCCCTTCACCGGCAGACACAGCCTCGCTGGTTTGGTCCAACGGCGCTGCCGCTGCGACCACGGCCACTCTTGGCCGATGCTGGTCCCTGCTCGGGCCTGACGCAGATGAACGAAGGTTCTTGGCCTCCTTGTTTGTGATGATGATCTGCGCAGCCTTGTCGAACAGTTCCGCCGTCGTCGTCAAGGTGTCCTCGACATGAGTCAGGGCATTGCTTAATGCCGGACATGACCTTCAGATGAAGTAATGGCGGATGGCTTTGAAGCCCATTTGGATGTCTGGGACTGATGTCAAGCGTTGGTACTCGGCGATCCAGTCCGTACTCGGCAGCGTGCCTTGCTCGAAGACCATGAGCTTGTCCATGGCTTTGATCTCCAGCAGCTCCACCTGGAACCGCTTGTGCCACGCCGCCTTCAGATCATCCCAACTGAGCTTGGTTTGCAAGTCGTTGGCTACCACTCTGTACTTGGACAACAGGTTGTCCAACCAAGCCTGACACGCGCCCCCTGAGCGAGAGTACAAGTATGCGTGGTGCTTGTGTTCCTTGACGTTGTGGAGCTGGAGCGTGAGCTCGAACTTGCGAAACCATGCATCCGGATATGTCTTCATTGAGTCGCAGAAGATCTCCTGCCCATCGAACTTTGGAGTTGTCTCGCGCGGTTCCGAACTCGAGGTGTTGGCGGTAGTGCAGATCCGCTCTTGCAATTGTTGTGTCGCAGTCTGCTGCAATTTCACCCCATCCTTGAGTGAGCCGATGTCCATCTCCAATGCGTTGAGGCGGTCTGAAGTGTTGGAAGAGCTTGCGTCGGCGGCGGCGACTGGTCGCTGCTCCAACCGCTGAAGGCGGTCTTGGACGCGAGCTAGCGAGTTGTCGAGACCGTGGATCTCCTCCTGTTGTGTAATGCAGGTTGCCAGGAAGTCTGTGAGATGCGAGAGGAGGAGCGCTATCTTGTTTGCGCTATCCTCCAACTGGCTATTCTCGGCCTCGGTCCGCCATTCCGCTGCCATTGTAAGTAACGCCTGCTCTCTGGTAAAGATCTTCTCACGACGTTGTTGTCTCTCTTCATCGGCAGCCCTTGTTGCTGCCTCGTCATGTTGGCGCTGCTGTTCAATCGCCAGCAGACGTGCCCGCTCGGCATCCTCTGCCTTCTTCTTCGCTGCTGCAGCTGCGTCATCTGCCCGTTTCTTTGTCTCGGTACTCCAAGCCAGCATCCGGGCCTGATAGGCCTCGTCTGCTTCACCGGGCCTCTGATCCATGACGGCTGTCTGTGACCTCAACAGCATGTACTAGGCCGGGGGCCTGCTGACGTGGCAACTCACCAATGTCGTAGCAGGGGGTACCCGGAGTCAAGTAGAGAAGGTAAGGTGAGGGATGGCAACAACATAGGTGGGGAGGGGTGGGTGGGATAATCGCCCAAC